GAACTCTGGAGTATTGTGGGGTAAAAAGCTAGAAACCGAAAGAAATTAAAGGTTCTTTTTTCTCTGTTTCTTTACCAAAAGTGTTGCTTTGCCACCAACAGAATTGATTCTTTCGAGACTAAAGAGACTAGTTCTGCACATTACTGCCATAGAATACGTTAAGTACTGATCAGTTCATAACACTTACGTAGTAATGCTGGAAATATGCTACACAGTATTGCATGCAATATACAACATAGCTTTCAATCTTGTATATAAGCACAGATGCTTTGTATGTTATGTAAAAAACCCCACATGTTTTTATGAGTGGAAACCTAAGCTAGATTGCATTTGTGCAGGCACGGTTTATGTGTACTAGTGCATTCTGCTCTATGCAAAAGGAATCCCGCAGTTACATTGGGTATGAGCTGCATTATCTAGGGGACTCTGTTCTTCAGAACTGGACTGTCTGAGAGGTTAAATAAAAATACTTTTGTAGCTGCTTCATCCATTTTCATAGATTTTATTCTATTTGGTACTGGCTTCTTTTACGGACAGTTACAATTACAATCTTGGATTTGAGGCTGACTTAAAATTTGTGTGCCGTAATCATCTACATTTAATAGGAGGTTTCTGTATGTTGGGGGAACAGAAGAGGTATGTAAAAACACAGATTATACAGGTTGGTATCTAAGAGTTTGTATAGATTCTGAGATAAGGTATTTAGTGTTCTCCAATTACAACTGCTGTCTAACCCTTCAGATACCTAGTCAACACGTAAACTTACCATTACCAACAAATTACATCCTCCTCTTCAGAGATTAGGTAGAACCACCATGGCGTTGGGGAAGGTGTCTTTGGGTAGAGCGTCTGAAGGGACCTAATGAGTGCAGAAATCTTTAAAATAAGTTCTTGTTGGAATACTGTAGAGTAACACTGAGCTACTAAAAAAATACTTGGTATTATGGGGTAATGCGGTTACTGTCTTGTTTTTGAGGAGAAAAAGAAAATTTAAAGGAATAGTTCTAGATCTATTTTGAATAGAGTTACTGTGCAGTGATGAAAGAGTGGAAAGTGTCAGATGTTTATACATAACAGGGAATAAGTGAAGTGTCACATGCTTGTATGAAGAAGGGTGTGTACATGTGAGATGCGCAAGTGATATGGTCCAGCCATCTCACCTCATTGTCTTTTTGAGACTTGACTAGTGGAGGGTAGATAAAACTAAAATGTTAATGTCAGCTGTTGATCACACTTGTTAAAAGATCCTTCTCTTTGCCAGCTGGAGAGAGGTTCTGTGAGGGTTACATTCCTGTAATTAAAAAAAAAAAAAAAGAGAGAGAGAGAAAAAATACCTTTATGTCAGATTTAGAACAACTTGAATGAACTTACTTAGATAAGCTTAAATCCTGGATGAGTGTTTGTGTTTGTGGGGTTTTCATATGCTTTCTGTGAAGCATGTGTGAAGTGGAATGCAGAAAACTGCATTTAGGTTTTATCCTTCAGATGAAGTGAAATGTGGCCATATGTAAATAGCTCTTAAGAAGGTTTCTATTGCATGAACCCAGATAGTTAAAAGCAATTCTAATGGCTTTGCTGCTCTGAGGGCAGGATGGTAGGGAGTGCATGGTTCATAGCATGAAGAAATAGGTTTGCTGTAAGGGAATGCTTACACTGGAGAGGATGGCAGCAAAAATGTGAGGACAAGATGAAACTCTTGACTTGTTTTATATTGTGAAATGGGAGTAGTAGGCATCTTGATGTGGACTGAAATTGCGTTATTTCACTGCTAACTTTTGAAATTGGCAAAGAGAACTTGTCTGTAGCAGGAGAACAACTTTTCCAGTAGTGGAAAAACCCCATCATTCTTACAAAGCTGCTTTTTGAGTCTTACCACTGGTAATCCTTTGTTTTGTTCTTCTGCGGAAGACAGCTGGATGTAAAGGCTTCATGGTTTGTCCAACCTGAGCTTTTATTATACTAGATCAGTTTTCTAAATAGAGACTGGATGCTAAAACCAGTCTGTGCTTTGGTTGTGGTGTAGTTACTATGTTCTCCACTGTGAGGGTTTTGGAGGTCTCGTAAGGCTCAGCATACCTGAAGAGGTCATGCCTTCTAACAATGAATGGTTGACTGTAATCTATTCTATGCAGTCATTTTCTGTGACCCTAATTTGTTATGTTAAATAGTTGTCTGTGATAATTTTGTTTCACTGTATGATAGTGTGCATTACTCATGTAGTCTGTTATCTCTCGCCTGAAATGATTATCTGGGTAGTCCTGTTTGTAACAGCTACTCCTCTGGAACACTTCACACTTCTACTTGTTTAGTAGGCTATAGAAGGGCATCTCTTTATTGACAACAAAAGGAGTCTTCTGACCACATGGAAAAGCTGCAGATTTTCCTCGTCTTTATTGCCAGTTGCTTACCTGTGAGCCAGAGGAGGAGAGGGGAACATCTTTTAAGAGGAAGGAGGCATATAGCCCCTAAGTGCCTGGCTCCCACTTCAGTACTTGAAACTCCTTTTTCAAACGGGTTTTATACGTAGGTCCCACTGAGAATGCAGGCTGCGCAGATTGCCTTTACTATCAAAATACTGTATTGTGTGAGAGTATTCAAAAGGCAGGAGAAAGAAGAAACCAAGTAGATTGGCTTTATACTAAACATAGAAAGCTTTTTGCATTGTCAGTGCATCATATTCTTGTGGTGAAGAATATCCCGTTGCATGTCTGTCTGAGGAGGAAACACAGGAAAATGCACTGAAAGGCTTTTCATATAAATAAACTTCAAACTCTGGTTTATGTCCTAAAATCTCGCATCTCTTCCTCTTTCAGTAGGCAAAAGAGGAACAGATCTTCAGCTTGTGCATAATGATAGCTCAGGATTAATTTTGCAATCAAGAGGTTTGAAATAGTAGTAAGCACATAGTCTTTGGTTTGGGGTCTCACAGAACTTAAGCAAGTGATATAGTGGGCTGGGGTCAGGGATGTGACAGGACTATTTTTTTTGTAATCTAATTTTTCCAAAATGTTTTGAAGTGTTACTTACTGTCATTTTACTTTAACTTGAGGAAGCAGCCAGATTTCATCCTGGCATTGGCTGAATAATTTTTCTGTGTGCTTTTTCTGTTTGTCCTTTATGTGGTCTTTGTATTTGAATCTGTTTTGAAAGTGAAGATCTGGTCGTTTCCTACAAGTAGATAAAACTACGGGCATAGATGAAAAAAGATACATCAAGGAAAATCTTGGTCTTTGTTCCTGTATCATTAATAGCAAAAAAAATTGGTTTCTTCCCCTTGCCTCAACCTACAGTTGTGTAGCCAGAGTAATGAGAGGATTTGTGTCTTGATGGCTACTGAATAAGAACTTCATTAAAGTGACGTAGATGAGTTTTAGCTGAGCTAATTATGCTGACTTGGTGGTTCTTTCCTTGGGATGTCTTATTTAATTTTTAAAATACATTTTAATACTTTTGTTACTTATATTATTGGAATTTTCAAAGGCTTTGTTCTGTAAGCAGACAGAATAGGACATGTCAATATTTGTCTGTGACCACATCCTGCAAATACATGACTAATTAGTCCTGTTGAGACTTTTTTTTTTGAGATGAGCTCAGAATTTTGTAATGAAATTCATACACTGAGTTAAAAAGCTTTGTGATTTGAGTGAAAACATCATGTGAACAAACAATACATGAATATAGCTAAGCAAATAGCAATTAAAACATGGACAATAACTTTCAGTCATGAGGTATTGTCGGTGCTGTTTTCAGATGTGCAGAGGGAAAAGCTCTCAATTGTTCTTAAGTCGGCTGGTAACTGAATCCACGTTTGTAGAGCTTGACAACAAAAGGCTTTTTGTTCACAATTTGTATTCATCTAGGACATGCCAATTACCGAGCATAAATAGAACATAGTGTATGAGCAGGCCAATATAACGTGTTGCTCAATTTGTGACTTACCAGAAATCCATAATTTATATTAAAATATTTAGTATTACAGGTAGAAGCTACTTGTCGGGGTATTTTAGATTTCTGCATGAATGAGCGTGATGTGATTACTTTGAGGAAGCACACACTGCTGTATTTGGTGTGACAGCAAGATGTGCAACCCCGTCAAAACTCTTTCTGAATATTACTTGCAATCATTTCACTAATTTAGTGAGGTAATACTGACTGGGGCAAAGTCAGTGGGTGCTTGATAAAGGAAGAAACAAGACCTTATACTCCCACTGTTTGCAAATAAAGCATACTAAAGAAAATCATTCTAATGTTTTCCCCCAAATTTGTTCAATTCCACCAAACTTTGTTATCACTGTAGTTGTATGACCACATGTGATTTGCATGTCAAGTAAGCATGACTGACTTTCTCTGCTGGGCCATTCAACAGCGTGCATCTTCTTACTGTTGGTGTGATAAACTTGTGCCTCCCATGCTCTTTACAAGAATTAGCATGCTTTTTGTAGGATGTTACCCTAATCACGATGAATGAGCAGGAACATAGGTGAAACTGTAGAAGTTTGGCATGTACAATTTTACTTGTATTTTTCTGTTCATTGCATAGAGGGAACAAAAACCTGCTTAAACAGGGACTGACCTGGAAGAACAGAAAGAAATAACCTTTGATAAAGCACACACTCCCCACCCCTCTTCATAATGTTTTAAATTGTGTTAACTGTGCAAGTCATGTTCTTGATTAAAACAGATGTGTCCAAAGACAAAAGTGTAAAGGTTCCCAAACTATGAAATGCATTGAGGTGATGGGTGTGACTTGATAAATGAGCACATCATTTTAAGTTGCTGGCTTGGGAAGTTTTTGTGGCATATGGAACAGAAACTTTGAGGTTTTTCTCCATTTGAGAAGTGTGCAAGCTGTCTTGCTAGTAGAAAGGTATGCATGTGGGAAAAGCACTGAAAAAGGATAAACAGCAGATTTTAAGTTCTTCGTCAGTGTGGGGTTCTTATGTTGGTCACTGGTAACTCCTGTTATATTAAGACTGTGTTCCTTTTCTGCCCCTTTTCAGGTAGTGGTGCTACAGCGGTTGTCCAGGCAGCGCTATGCAAACCCAGGCAAGAACGTGTAGCAATAAAGAGAATCAACTTAGAAAAATGCCAAACCAGTATGGATGAATTACTTGTAAGTAAATCAGAGGGTAACATATTACATGGAGACTATCTTCTGTTTTGATTTTGGTTTTTGCTTGGTCTAAGAGTGAGGGTAGAATTTTATGCAGGATAACAGTGAGAAAAGGATTTGAAAATAATCTGAAAGAAGCATGCCCTTCCCCTAAAAATGTATTTTACTAATGTGTATTTTCTAATGCCACAAAAACAAGAAGTGCAAATTTGAATCTTGGGATAACCAGCTGTTGAGAACTGTGGGAAGAACCTTACCCCTTGCTTTCTGGAGACTCGATTTTCAAGAGGTTACTGTCTGGTTGTCTGTCTTTTCTTAATACCAAGGAAAGATACATTTTCGTTTGGTTAAACACTGATTAAAAAGAAAAAGGTAAAATTTAGTAGGTCTCCTTAAAATGTCTAAAGCACCAAAACATGGCAAAAACTAGTTGTTGGATCATTTTGTAATTATAACTTTTGAGGGGAGAAGTAGGAATGGCTACGCTGCCATCTACACAGGGAAACTCTTGTTAAAGATAATAACATGCATCTATCTGATAGGCCGTAACAAGCCATTTGAGGAATGCTGTTTGTTTGGGTCACTGATTAGAGGAGGAAGAGACCTGTAAGAGGGCCTTTGTAAAAGGGACTGCAAGAGTTTTTCATCTGCACTGGTTATGGCAATCCAGATGAAGTTGCAAAGAACTGTTAAAAAACAAAACCTGTTACTTTCTAATGCTCCTAGTCACGTGCTTATGACTGATGCGTATTTATATATAAGCAGCATAACAAGGGTTGAAGGACACAAAACCATTCTAAAAGTGAGAACACTCTCTTCTGTTCCACAGGTTATACTACTGCCTAGAGACTGTGGGCTTTTTCTAATGCAGAAATTCCTGCCTCTGAAGGAAATGATCTCCTCAGCAGGGAATTGCCAGTGCAAAAGATATCTTGAATTTGATACAGAGGGTATGGTCCATCCAGTTTCTTCAGATAAAATGGCTTGTTTACAGTGGAGGACCCAAAATGTTCTTCCCCTGGTGATTGATGGCATTTGCCTTCAGTTTATGTAATAGCTTGTATGGGACATTGTTGTGTTTTTTAAAAGAGGATTGTGGAAGTGGAAGTTACCTCTGAGGTAGGGAGACTTCTGTCAACTGAAAACCCCCAAAAATTCTGAACTGTGTTTAGAAAGAGAACAGCCTGAGGCGAGATGTTGTGCATGATGTATTAACATCTACAGTCCATAAAGAACATTTCTATAAAACCAGAAATACAAAATCATTGTAATATAAAATGGTCAAACTTTGATCTTTTTTTATTAGAATTTGAACTAGTAATTGGAATTAAGAGTTAAAAAGTTACAACAAATGAAAACAGACAAAACTGCCAAAAATCTGCAAGAGGTATTCAGATGATCTAGAGATTAGTTACCAGCTTGTACAAAGTTATCTTAGCAAGTGCTTGAGTATCTTTACTGCTGACATATCTTTACTGTCTGCCAAATGAGGCAACAGGTCTTGAATTTTTGGTCCCATATTGCTTTCTTTTGGTACAAAGACCACTGTCCATACCATCTTTTTTATTTTTTAACATAAGTCAATTTCTGCTTTTCTGTGTTCAGATTTTGTGCTTCTTTTATCTGTTGATCTGTTTTGATCTGAACATAAATTCTGGCTGTCCAAATTCCTGGTTAGGAGGGTAAAAAAAAAAAAAAAATTAAAAAAATGCCATGCATGATTCCTTTTAGTTTTATATGTGCATACACACATGTGTATGCACACACATATGTAATTTTTTTTTTTTTCTGTGAGAGGAAGTATACTTACTCTGACTCAGCTGTAATAGATTTTTAAATTTTGTTTAAAAAATAGTGATGTTATTCTGGAAAAGGGCATCATCGACCTTCAAAACTTGTTACAACTGTACTAACGTTTTTCTTTCAGTTGATAATACTTAAAACACTCTTGCATTTTGTGTTTTTTAATACCGTTTTTGAGTCTGCTCAGTTTTCAGTCACTTATTTTTCTGATCAAACAGTTTCCATTGGCACAGGAATGTTCTAAAACTTCCCTCTGAACATGCTGTTTTGTAAAATCCTTCTGCTGAGTGCTTATGGATGTTGTGCAAAGGCAACCTTCACAAATTCTCAGCTGTGTGGCCTTCAGAGAGCTAGAAAATGCAGCAAGCCTGGTGCCCATGTAAGTGGACTTAGGATTTGGGCCAGTGTCAATGAAAATAGAAAGGCAGTGTAGGAGGGAGTTTAAATAATACTAAGGTTACACAAACTGCCAAACTCCTGAAATTCAATACTCTGTTTCCTGCAGTGTCCGGTGTTCTCACTATTGTAAGCTAAATGTAAATTAACCCCCTGAGCCAAGGAAAAAGTTCCTGTCCTTAGTATTGTCCTGACTGGGTATCTTCCCCCATGCCCTTACCTCCAGTTTTTTAAAACAAACAAAAACCTCAACACTACAAACCAAAGAATAGTCTATAGAATGTCTTATTTGATTGAATAGTTTTTCTAAACTGTTTGCATTTCTGCTCTGGATAGCCCTTCGAGCAGGCTCTCTGGAGGTGCCCCTCGCATGTTATACCCAGCCCCTCAAACAGCTGTACCCAGGGTGTCTGTGGAGGAGGCCCTGGGGAAGCACCCACAGAGCTGTGGCACCTGCCTGGTCACTGAGAGCTGGACCTGGGCCCGTGGGTGCTGCAGCTGAGCACCGAAAGGAGCTGTCTCGCAGTTGCTTATTAACTGTGTCACCCACCTGCCCTTAGGCCGACACACATTTTTGTGCAGCTGCTCAGAGAAACTGCATCAGAAATAACCTGGCCAAAAAGAAGTTAGCTTTTAACCTGGACATATTTCCTGACGTAGTGCACAAACACTTGTGCTAGCACAAGGGAGGGAGAAGCAGAGGGATGAGGGAGAGACTTAAAATCTAAAGTGTTGTTACAGCTTTGGTGTTGTCAAATGTCTAAAGTGACATGAATGTGAAGAAGATTCTGGGGCGTTCTCCTGAATGTCCTGCTGCAAGCTTTTCCTCTGACAGTGTATTTTAAGTGAATGCTTTTCTCTCTCACCTGTGCATATTGTGGGCCTCAGCCAAATAACTGAAGTTTGTGGAGGCTTTCCATTCTGTGTGTGATGGGGGCTCTCCAGAACTGCAAGTCTGAAATTAATACTTTCCTGACTAAAATTCAATCCCTTATCTCTCATGGGCTGCTTTCTGTTTTATTTTTTTTTTTAATTTATTTTTGTTTTACAAAGACTCTTTTTGGAAAAAGTCACCAAAGCTGAGACGCAAGGTGCCTTTGGCCATGGTTAGTGCAATACCTCAATTTTTGCCAACGAGTTGTTGCGGGCAGACAAAATATTCAAAGCACTTTTCAGTTAAAGATAGTGAAGATTACCACAGTCAATTAGTTACATTTCTGCACTATTAATGTGTGAATAAAACAGATGAGGTGTATTTTTGCCCAGCAGTGGCAGGTAGACTTTTTGAGCTGTTATTATATTACCAGCATAGGAAAACAATTAAACAATATAAGAAATGAAATAGTAATCAAGAGTGGGAGAGTTACAGTTAAGATTTAGTATGGATAGCTGAATTAAGAACCTGAGGCAGTAATTTGACTTGTGTTTAAGCTGACATGTCTTCTGGGAAAGGGAAATGTGCCCCACATATTTCTTCTGTTTTCCACCTACTGTCTCCCAGGGAGGCAGGGAGCTATTTTGCAAATTGCTCAGTTATTCAGGCTCATTGCATGACTATCCAGGCATTCATCCTTCTGTGGTTCAGGGCTCAGAAGTTGTCTAGGGAGGAGGACTTTTGACAACAGGACTAGCTGAAATGTATGTCAAACTATGGCCTGACTTAATAGTCACCAACAGGCATCATGAGATTAAATCACAGTCTTTAATACATATAATTAGCTTTTTATTATAAAGCGGCTGTGATCTTGAGTGCATTGCAAATAACAACAATACCCCCGTCCCCTTTCAAACACTTGCTGAATTGAGGTTGAAAGTTGAAAATGGCATCTGTCGCAGCTTTAATCAATATAAGTGGGACCACCATAGTGCCTGCCTTGCACCGATGCTGGTGAGTCAGCATGTAACATGGGTCCACCTGAAAGCAGTTGCTTTTCATGGCAGGAGGGGAGGTGGAAGAGTTTGGGGTTTAGCTGGATTGGCTCCCTGCCTGGCTCACCCTCCAGGAGCACGTCCTTTAGCACCAGGGATGGATCAGGGCTCTGTGGCTGGAGGTGGAGAGGGAGAAGGAATAGGGTTGTGGGAGCTTAAGTTGGTGTGAGCCAAACCCTCCACTACAGAGGAGGCCTGAATGCTCCTATGTAAAGGATTGACAGGATAATGAGAGCTGCCAGAAAGGTGTGAAAGAGCAATTATGTGAAAGAGTGAATAGAAAAAGGGCTCTGCTAGAAAAAACAGATACAAGACAGTCATTCTTAATGTGTATAGCTGTGATGCGTCATAGATGATGTTACTTGGTACTGCCACATTGTGAATCCGTTGGTGACGACTGTGTGCTCCTCTAAATTGTTTCCTCTGACTTTTGGTCTGTAACATTGCTTTTTCCTCGTCCACTTCTGTTTGATTGCGTGGCTCTGGTGTCTACCTGTCCATCCCACAGTAGCTGAGGATGTCCTTTGTCCGACAGCTTCCTTCCTCCTTTCCCACCTGCTCCCATTCTACACTTTTCATATCTCTTTTGAACAGGAAAGGCAGTAGGTTTTGGTCTTCACTTGCCTTTTGTTGTCCAGCCTGTACCCACACCTTCAGCTCTTGGAGACTGCTCATTCTTCATTACTCACTCTGAACTGGGACTTTAACAGTAATTTCTTTGCTGCTGTCAGAAGAAAATTGATGTAGTTATGCCTATATCTCCTGGCCAAACCTCCCTCGTGTTCTTTGCAATAATGTTTTGTCTTGCATGCAGATCTATAGGTAAATTGAAATGTTTTGGTGCCTTGATGCATATTCTATGCATACTTCAGTTCTGTTATAGAATTTTACTTTGGAAATTAAACTTTCTTTCTATAGAAGCAGAACTGATAGCTGTCTGTGTTATGTTGGGCTTTGTATTTCTTACAGAAAGAAATTCAAGCAATGAGTCAATGCAATCACCCCAATGTGGTGACTTATTATACATCTTTTGTGGTGAAGGATGAACTTTGGCTGGTTATGAAGCTGTTAAGTGGGGGTAAGTTACTGGTTTTACTTGTTTAGCTGCAAGGAAATGGTATGATTTTTTTTCTAATGTACCTTCTTTGAGTTAATTGACCTAAACCAAGTAAAAAGTGGGGAGAGAGACTACATAGGATGAACCTTGAGACATAGGTGTGTTATAGCAGAAATGTGCAAGCTTAAAAAGTTTGCATATTTATATTGCTAGTACAGGCCAAGAATTACTGAGATAAATTCTGTTGATCTAACTACTGTAATTTTTTATTCTGAATCAGTTCTCTGTTAAGGCTGTGTAGGGAAAACTGATGAGAATTAAGTCAGTTCTGTGAGTGTGGCCTTGTTTTGAGTTTCTCTGAATCCACTCTATTTTTGTAAAAATGCATATATTACTGATTTCATAATGAGTGTTTCTCATTCCTTATTCAAGGAACATTCTTCCTAGGACAGGCATTATACATGTTGCATCCTTTTTATTGCTTAAACTAACCAAACACTCATTACAGTTTTTATGATGATGGTTAATGGTATAAAAATCTTACTTGGTTCTGGGAGAGGAAAAAGAGGCTAAACTGAATGTGCTTTTAGCTTAGAAAAGCGAGGCTCCAAAATAAGATGTGGTGGTACTGATTGCTAAACGATGTTCTTCAAGATCAGTCTCGATGGCAGCAGACTACTGCACCCTCATGCTGGAAAGCAAGGATGGGAAGTGCTCATGAAATAACACTTGTTAACGTCACATTTGGTTGAACTGTTCAGTTCCATCAAAAGCAAGCATAGATGCTGAGAGAAACCAGTGATTCATGACAGGAATTTACTGTGAGCTGTTGAAAAATGCTTGGATAAAAACAAAATTTTGCTATTAAATTCCTTGAAATTTATAATAGCTTAAGTTCAATGTCAAACTGGGTGTCACTAGAAAAGTTGTCATCGTTTGTTTGCAGAGAATATCTCCTTCCAGTCTTGAAGCTGCATGTTTTATGTGAACCATAATCTCAGCTGGATAATAAACTAAAACCTTTGCTGTACATGTCTGTTTAAATGTGGGATATTCCTGAGTTTTCAATAAATGGTAGCTTAGCAAGCTGTTAGTGGATCTTTCTAATGGATCATTAAGGTTTACAGTATTCTTGACAAAAAGACGGCACACGGTGCCTTTTCTCATTTGAACGAGGTAGCAGTGTGCTTTATTCTGAGAGCTAGTTAACGTGAGGTCTTTACACATACATGCAAAGATTTTAAATTGCAGTAGCCTAGAAAGAATGAAGAAATATAACTTTCTCAAGAATCTGATACGATAATGCTGTATATATGCTTCTTTCCTTTCCTGGATCTGCAATATAGGTTCAATGCTTGATATAATAAAGTATATTGTCAACAGAGGAGAGCACAAAAATGGTGTCCTTGAAGAACCCATAATAGCAACAATTCTTAAAGAAGTTTTGGAGGGCTTAGACTATCTACACAGGAATGGGCAAATTCACAGGTAAAAGCATTTTCGAAGTTGTGTGTATAGTTCGTTGATACTGGTCAGCTGCAGTTGCTTGGCTAAGCAAATTGTATTGCCTCTTTCGCCTGCTGTAAATACGATCAGTAATTATCAAATGATAATGCTTGGGCAGATGCTGTAATCTTGACTGCAGTTTGTCACAAATACTTAGTCCTTGCCTGGTCTTTATTCTGTCCATCTGTCTTATATTTAGGATCGGTCTGTGCTGCTCTAAGTATGCCAGAACTGTGGTCTATATGCCTGTGCCTACTGGTACTCCAAATATCTAATCTGAATCCAGTCTATGCAATATGGTCTGTGACTTCGTTATTGTGTTGCACAGTAAACCTGTAATCTTGGGCACTCAGGCACTGCTGTAGAAATGTGAAATTTATATATTCCTGGTAATCAGTAATGTCTCTTACAACTCTACAGACCTGTTTATGACCACACATGAAACTGGGATTAATACTATGGAACTGCATCTTGGTCTATACGCATCTAATGATTGTTCTCTTGTATATAAACTCTCTCCACTGACTTCCTCAGTGTAAATTGTGCAGGTGCCCCAGGGTGGTCTATATATATCTGCTGTAGCAACCTACAGGTTGCTTCCGCTGTTTGGATGTTGGAAGTGCTGTACTCTGACCTCCCTAATTAAATTTACTGAGGTGAATTTGCCTTTTAAGGAAGGTGCCTACAATAGGCTCTCTGTCTGTTTCAAGCATTAGCCTTTCATAAGGGAATCTTTTAAACAAAAACCAGATTCGCTGCAGACGGAACTCTTGAGAATGGAGGTAGTGCAGATGTAGCACAGTAATTGTTCTTTATGTGTACTTCTTATGTCTCATCTTATAAATGAACTGCCTCTGATGTAGATCAAGAACTATTTTCTCCTTTTGCAGAGAGAAAGTTGAGATAAATGGAGAAATAAAGAACAATTATCTTGACTTCTGGTCTGGAATGCCAAAGATCTGCCTCAAACCTTAATTCATAGTCTTCTGTTAAGCTGATATTGTTGCAGAAGGAACATTCATTAGATTTTAAGGATAACAGGACCCTTTGAGGTTGGATCTGGGAATTCCCCTTGTCTATTGTTAAAGGACCTTAAAAAAACATAAAAAGAGAGAGATCTATTTGTTACATCTGAGATTTCTCCTTTTTTGTAACATCTAATTTGTAAACTGTACAGTACTACAGAAGTCCTGTTCAAGACAATACAGTGTGTGTTCCTTTTCCCATGTATGTTGTAGGTGAAAGCTGTGGTAGTTCAGGGAATGCTGTTATCAGGTGGTATTTGCCAGTTGGAGATGTTTCCAAAATTGTTCAGGGATTTCGTTCTTTTGTTTCGATGCATTCTTGTTTATGTATAAGGAAACAGGTTATGTTACCTTTCAGTAGCAATGTGTTAATTATTTTCAGTAAATCTTGGAAAGATTTGTTTGCTCGAATTCTTAATGTTTATGATGTAGTCTGTATGAAAGATTTATCCTGTGCATTAAAAATGGGATGCACATTTCTATCAAAAAAACACCAGCCAGAATGGTTTCTTCTTAACATTATGCGTGAATAGTGTGTTAAATGGATATATTTGACTGTTTGCAGTCTTTTAGAATTTAAACATGGATATATTTGACTGTTAAGCACATGCTGAATTTTTGATTCAGTGTCAAGTAACTTTTCATCATGGTACCCTATAGCAAAATATGGTTGCTATTCTTGAGCTTTAATAGCTTCATTGGGTAGAAATCTATAGTATATTTACCTTTCTTGAAGATGGGTCTCTTCTCTGAAGAGATCAAAGAGAAGAAGTTTTTTTCAACTTTACTTTTTCAATAGTGGTGCAGTTGGATGTGACAAAGAATTAATTCTTGCTTTGAAGCTCTGAAAGCTCTCAGTTTGTGACATTATATTTATAAAAGGCAGTAAAACAGATTTTGGACCTAAATATTTTTGTTCTCAAAATCTAGCCCTGAATTCTGCTTGTTTTATACCAAAGCTGAATTTGGGTCTTTTTATACGAGAGAGAGAGTTTGTGAGAGTCCGAGTTGTGCACTCTGTTTTATTGTAAATCAGTTACATTTTATACTTCAGTTCCTGTTTCTGTCTTTTAAATTTTAAAATGCTATCTGGTGAAACTAATTACTATTTATTTATTTATTTACATAGAATGTGCACATATGTACTTTCATACTAACCTCTGTTTGTACATTCTAGAGATCTGAAGGCTGGCAACATCCTTCTGGGTGAAGATGGCTCTGTACAAATAGCAGGTAGGTAATGATGGTGGTAGAATAATGGCAAAATAATAGAAAAAGGTAATTGTAGCTGGATTAGGGGCAATAGATACAAGTTTTTCTGTTGGCTTTTAACTGTTCCTTTTGGAGTGCTGTAGCTGCAAGTTACCCAGTTTCAGATTTCGGGATTCTTGGTTAATAATACATGCTTTAGGAATTATTCAGTATTTTTCTGTGTCCCATAATGTATATAAGGAAACTTTTTAATGTCCTCTTAATGTTTCCTTTTGAATCACCCATGTACCTTAAACAGTTTGCAAACAGTAGCAAGTCATATTTTTGTTCAAGCTTATTTCATTTATTTCTGCAAGTAATTGTAATAGTTCTTGGGGATTCAAAAATCCGTATGTACTGCCCTTCATGAGGACCTTGGCTATAACTTAACAAGTCACTGAGATGCATGAGATATGTCTCACTGAGGATTATTTCTGGCATTTCTGCCATTTGTCTTGCAATAGTATTGGTTGGATAGTTTAGTATTTTAAATATCCTCTGAATGTACCTATATGCTTCTTGAGTGGTAGCTTGTAAGAATCAAATTATTTGGTCTTTCTAAGAGCTTAAGTATTGAACAACACCCCATATCCCATCTCTCAAGTTAGCATTGGATTTCTGGAAAATAGAGCAAGCAGGTGGTGATACCTGCCCCCTCTCCCAGCATACTCCCACGCCTTTCACAGTTTATAGCTCATGACCCAGCAATGAAAGCTTTGTCTCTAGTAGCCCTCAGTAATAAAAGTGGCTATAGCCAAAAGTTTGTTTTTTTTTTTTTTTTTTTTAATAAACAGTGCTTTCAAAGTACTGTGTAAATGTGTATTTTGAGGGCTTTAAAATACCAATGTCTGAAGTCTATGAAACTGGATGGGAAAAGATTGGCTGGCAGGTGAACCATTTACTAATGTGAGCAGCTTTGTCTTCTGTTTTGAGTTCAAGACTTTTTAAGTAGTTAGTAAATTTTACAGACTTGAATTTTAATAAGGTACTTAATATTTATTTATTCACTTGATTATACCCTACAGTTATCTTCACTTTGCATAGCACTTTGGGCAACTGCTGAGATTCTAGGTCTGTGTTGTTCAAGTATTTTTTAGATCTTCTCATACTGTAAAGGAGTGGATGTCCAGATAACCAACTTGAATTAAAAATAATAATAACTAAAAAGTTGAAAGATAAAGTCTTATGAGCCATCCGAAATAAAGCTGTTGACTTTAGATTATTGCTTTCACACATAATGAAATCTATTCTCCCAGTAATCTGATAACATTCAAACAACAGCTTCATTTATCCCTTTCTAATTCAACTTCAGGGCTTGGTTTCTTGACCTTTTCCTCCCTTTTGCTGTAGGCATCTTAATGAGTAAGGCTTTTAACTGTGCTGCTAGGGCATTCAGTGCATGTGGGACTGAGGAAGTTCAGTGGCTGGACAGATATGTGGAATGTGTTTTTTCTATGATGTGTTATTTCAATACCAGGTTATTTCCAATCTTCAGGTGAAAAGTGTGGCAGTGTCAAACTTGTTTCTTTGTTGGTGTGGGACTGTTCTGTTTGGGACAGCTGAACATTGCACATTAACTGAAAGACAATTTTGAATGTCAAAGAGGCTGAAATTCATCCTTTTTACATCTTTTTGCCTTGACAAAGTAAAGTCTCCTTTCATCTTTGGAGAACAGATACCTGATAATTTTCCTTCTTTTTATTTGCTAGAAGAACTTAGATTCTTTTGACTGCTTGTTCTCCTGCACCCCAAACTTCTATAATGAAAAGATGTATCCAAAGCACACACTGCTAATATATATGAGGTGTAATATTTGAAGACGCAGTTGTCCATTAGCATTTCTGGGTTCTAAGGGGCTATGGCTCACAAATGAAGCTCAGGCCAATGTTCCTCTGACAAAAGATTTTGTGCAGATATAGAAGAGCATAGACTCTTCAAAGAATTGGGATAGCTCTACAGAGACCCCTGATTATGGACCTTGGAGCTTCTGCATGGAGAATCTGCTCAGTCTTTGGTGGGAAAGAGGAGAATACACATCTTTTTGTTTTGTTTAAATTGGTGAGACTTATTTTTAAAGTACGAAATTTCTCTGTATGGAGCAGAGAACTTTTGACTGATTCACAAATACAACGTTAAATAGTCACTGCAGTTCCTCAGCTCCAACATTCTGCTTAAAACTATTGGGATTGTAACATAGAATCATAGAATAGAATCATAGAATCATTTAGGTTGGAAAAGACCTTCAAGATCATTGAGTCCAACCATCAACCATGCCCAATAAACCATGTTCTGGAGTGCCTCATCTACGTGCTTTTTGAATACCTCCAGGGATGGTGACTCAACCACTTTCCTGGGCAGCCTGTTCCAATACCTGACAACCCTCTCAGTAAAGAAATTTTTCCTAATATCCAACCTAAACTTCCCCTGTTGCAACTTGAGGCCATTTTCTCTCGTCCTATCACTAGTTACTTGATAGAAGAGACCAGTACCCACCTCATTACAACCTCCTTTCAGGTAGTTGTAGGGAGCGATAAGGTCTCCCCTCAGCCTCCTTTTCCCCAGGCTAAACAGCCCCAGTTCCCTCAGCTGCTCCTCATAAGACTTGTGCTCCAGGCCCCTCACCAACTTGGTTGCCCTTCTCTGGACACGCTCCAGCAACTCAATGTCTTTCCTGTAGTGAGGTGCCCAAAACTGAACACAGTACTCGAGGTGCAGCCTCACCAGTGCCGAGTACAGGGGAACAACCACCTCCCTGCTCCTGCTGGCCACCCTATTTCTGACGCAGGCCAGGATGCTGTTGGCCTTCTTGGCCACCTGGGCACACTGCTGGCTCATATTCAGCCGGCTGTCAACCAGCACCCCCAGGTCCTTTTCTGCCAGGCAGTTTTCCAGCCACTCTTCCCCAAGCCTGTAGCGCTGCATGGGGTTGCTGTGACCCAAGTGCAGGACCCGGCACTTGGCCTTGTTGAACCTCATACAACTGGCCTCAGCCCATCGGTCCAGCCTGTCCAGATCCCTCTGTAGAGCCTTCCTACCCTCGAGCAGATCAACCCTCCCTCCCAACTTGGTGTCATCCGCAAACTTGCTGAGGGTGCACTTGATCCCCTCATCCAGATCATTGATAAAGATATTAAAGAGAACTGGCCCCAATACTGAGCCCTGGGGAACACCACTTGTGACCTGCCACCAACTGGATTTAACTCCATTCACCACAACCCTCTGGGCTCGTCCATCCAGCCAGTTTTTCACCCAGCAAAGAGCACACTTGTCTAAGCCATGAGACGCCAGCTTCTCAAGGAGTATGCTGTTGAGAGACAGTGTCAAAGGCCTTGCTGAAGTCCAGGTAGACAACATCCACAGCCTTTCCCTCATCTGCTAGGTGGGTCACCTGGTCGTAGAAGGAGATCAGGTTGGTCAAGCAGGACCTGCCTTTCGTAAACCCATGCTGACTGGGCCTGATCCCCTGTTTGCCCTGCACATGCCATGTGAGCGCACTCAAGATGAACTGTTCCATAATCTTCCCCAGTACTGAGGTCAAGCTGACAGGCCTGTAGTTCCCCGGATCCTCCCTCCGACCCTTCTTGTAAATGGGTGTCACATTGGCAAGCTTCTAGTCCTCTGGGACAATCTGGTGCTTTGGGCAAACAGGGTGATTGGTATTTCAGACTTCTAAGTCTGAATTGCCTGGCAAAGGTGAGGTAAAGAGCATATAGCAAAGAGCAATAATACACAGAGTTTGGTGGAAGCGTAGAAGGTATGGGCTGTATGATGCTTTTAGTCCATACAAGAAATGACAGTTTCAATAAAACTTGTCAGAAGAAGAATGTGTGTTTTGAGGCATCTAAGCAGAGGTCCTGCTCTTCATTTTTGTGCGTAGGTGGCTGTGTGAACTTACTCATTGCACCAGTGGTTCTCAGGGTGTTCGCTTCTGTGGTAATCCCTACCTACAGAAACATTTGGAAAAGATCGGATTAAAAATAGGCAGAGCCTATGTCTTGGATACTCAAGCCAAATGGAAGAGAAAGATTTATCAGGGACAGTTGTTTGGCAGCCCAAGCTTTCCTTGGCCAGCCCCGTTCTCACAGGAGCTTGATGCTTTCTTTCTTTCCCAGACTTAACTGTAACCCTACGCATGGCCTTGGCTGAGCCCTAGGCTAAAGTCTACAGCCACTGTCAAGGTGAGAAAGTTAGGGGAGAAATATTTTTGCAGCCTGTGCCTTCCTGCAGCAGCTGCTTTGCAGCGCTGCTGCCATGGAAGCAGTGGCTTTGTCTTCCTCCCAAGGCCAATCCTGACCCTGGAGCTTGGTTTTGGATGAGGCTTGGCCAAGTGCCCAGCCCTGGCTGAGGTGAAAAAGCTGTCAGGTACAAAATGTTTTTGCAGCCTGTACTTTCCCTTAGTGGGCTCCTTGGAGGCCACAGGCTTCATCCCTCTCCCAACCTTACGCCTAACACTAACTCTGGATGTTGGCCTTGGCTTGGCCAAGTGTCCAGCCCTGGCTGAGGTAAAAAAGATGTTAGGGAATAAAGGATTTGTAGGCTATGCTTATTTGGGCAGCTCTGTTTCCTTTAATTTCAGAATGCTTTACTAATACTGTTAAATCAGGGCTCTTCATTAAATTTGTTTTTTCTTTGGTATTAGCTGTGACTTTTAGCCTAACACTGTTGAATTGTTCAGCTCTTTCCTTGTAATATATTTCCTTTTCCTCTTAATGTAACTTGTTCTCAATAATACTTTGTCTCCTATATGACAGGAAGCTTACCACTGTAGGTCATGTCTTTTCTTAAGTAACCTGTATTTGTGAAAGCTATGTCTGGGATGGGAAATTAAAGTCTTGTTTTTATTGAGTAGCTATCAAAGCATTCTTTCTGTCTGTAAACATACAACAGTGTTTGACTAGTATTATACTAAAATGTTCACTTGACTTAATTAAATACTCATCACATCTTTCTCAGTGAGGTGTTGCGATATTTCATTTTGAAGCTTATGCAAGAAAAGATTTTACCTAGTTTTTGGGTTGTTTTTTTTTTTTTAATTGTCCTCCCTCACCCATTTATATTTGTTGTATGTTGTCCTTTTCAAAATCAATGTTATGTTAATAGAGAAAAACAGCAGTACGGGAGCAAAGGTTAAGTCAGGATTTTAGCTGTGTATCTCTGTTCCTGAAAGGACCTGTAAACAATTGTCCAATGCAAACTATTTATCTTTGGTACTGAAAGGACATCAGTTTTTTTTCTATATCTCTCCTTTATTTATACATTTATTTATTTTTGATTTCTGCCTATTTTACTTTTCCTTATATGCAGTAGTTCCTCTTCAGAAAACTGTCACTAATGCCAGCATTGGTATTTAGGGCATTAAAAACTTAAAGCAGGTGTTTCTAAGACTGTTCATGCTTCTCAGAAATACAAACAAAACCTGTCTATTCTATAACTTACAGATTTGAGGGGGGAGGGGAAAGGTTTTTTTGTTCCTCAGGCAAGCTGCAGGGAAGATTAAAGAATATTGCTTGAAGCTTGCTTCTTTCTTGTCTACGGTATTTTTGTGTGTTTCAGTGGTGTAGAAGTGGTCTAGAATTTGAGTCTGTGATGGTTAACAGTTGTTTAGTGGAAAGTAATGGTAAAACTACATTTTCTGTAGTTACTGATTTTTATTTTTTTATCCAACCTTAAAATCAGGGAACAATAGGAAAACAAAAATTGGTGTAGTCTATAGTAAACTACTTGATTTCAGTATAACTGGATTGTAAATAGCACAGTCTAAAATACTCTTCATATAGCTCCGTTCAAAATGACACTATTTCTCCGTATATTGGCAACCTGTTCTTCTTTCCTCTATTTATCTCCTACCTCTCCCATATAGCTGTCACTGACACTGGATGGGGGGAGTGAGTGAGCGGCTGCGTGGTGCTTAGTTGCTGGCTGGGGTTAAACCACGAAAGTTGTAACAGCTTAACAGAACACAAAGGGTTTTTGCTATTTTGGGATTTGGAAAAAACTGTTCATGGCATGGTCTACTGTTAAACATATGTTGTTGATCACTTTGCTGATTTTGTCAAATTTCCATAAATATTTAAATTACATGTAGTACTCCCTCTTGTTCAAATTGTATTCAAATTTAATGGCTATACAGAAGTACTGCCTTATCTTTGAACAATGGCAGATGCAAACCTTTCAAACCTTGGCTCAAAGTGCACATTTGAAAACCTTAAGTGACAGAGATACTGGAGTCCTTTGTAAGCTTATTCAGGAAGACACATACTAGGAGGTTGAACTAGTGCAGATTTCCCACATAAAACTATACCATCTATTCTGTAGCATTTCAAGAACAGTGTGTCATGAAATAAAGGTAAGCTCTGCAATGGAGAGTTTCTGTAACTAGACCTTTATGAATTGACTTAATTTCTAAAGTGTAAAACTTTTGCTTTGTTACTGTAGTTTAACAGATTTTTTACTTTTTTCCCCCTTTCCAGATTTTGGCGTTAGTGCATTTTTAGCAACAGGAGGTGATGTTACTCGTAACAAAGTAAGGAAAACATTTGTTGGTACTCCATGTTGGATGGCCCCTGAAGTAATGGAGCAGGTATTCCTAATGTTAAAAAAAAAAAATAAAAAAAAATTCAGTCTTCAATTTTTGGAATTTGAGGCATCACTACCCTGTTTTTCCTTTCTGGTTCTATTCCAGGTGCGAGGTTATGACTTCAAGGCTGATATGTGGAGTTTTGGGATAACAGCCATTGAATTAGCAACAGGAGCAGCACCTTATCACAAATACCCTCCTATGAAAGTAACAATCACTTTGTATTACTTAATGCTGTTAGCTATATTGTTAATGCTGCTAGATAGTTAGCACTACTTCATTTTTAATAGCAACTCAAGATATCTAAATGTATGTATTCTGTTGGAATATTTATTCTCTTTTAATTTCTATGTGTTTTGAATTGATTTTGCTTACAGTACCTCTTTTTTGGGTTTACTGTAGGTGTTAATGCTGACGCTTCAAAATGACCCTCCCACTTTAGAGACAGGTGTAGAGGACAAGGAGATGATGAAAAAGTATGGCAAATCCTTTAGAAAACTAATTTCATTATGCCTTCAAAAAGATCCTTCCAAAAGGTAGGTCATTATTGCCACGTGCAGTGGAATTATTTTTCTTAATATACAGACTACTTAAAGTTCCAGTGTTTAAACATCATCTTTAAGTGTATGATTTGAATTTTGTAAATAGCAGCCTACAGTCATCTTCATCTGGGGAGAAGAAATTGCCTCTTAATTGTTGCTTAAGTTTTCTTCTTCTGAGTTGTTAACCTGATTTATTTATACTTAAACATACTGTTGGATTAAGCTCTGATCAAACAAAAATCCTTGCTCTACAGCTTAGTTTCTCATCTGATGCAAGATACAAATCTTGATATTGTGCATAAGTCTAGCAAGACTGTTCAGATTATTAGACAGAACTGTTGGTAACCAAACATATCAGTCTCTTGGCCTTTAAATGAAATTAAAAATAATAATTTTATGTTGATTTTTCTCATTTTGTGCCATAACCTTAGTATTGCCTTTAACTTGGATGTTTCCAGAGAAAATTGCTTATTAAGAGGTATTTATTTTTTACTGTAAATTTAGGGGCTCCAAGCTCGTTTAGAGTTTTCCTCATGTTTATGTAGGCAATTGCATGTCATAGTATCTTAGTGACTTGTTCTTTCTTGCTGTATTTTGTGAATGGGATAGCCAAGATGATGAAAATATTAAACATCTATTCCAAAACCATTGCTGAGGTCCCAAGTTCCCAGAATGTTTAATCAATTTATCCTTTATTCATTTTTATGCAGACCCATTTTTGTAGGTTTCTTTTGCTGAAGAGTTAGAGGAAGCACATTTGAATTAACATTATTTCCTAAGGGTATTTAATATATCACTTCTTTGAGATTCAGAGCTGATATTTCTGGGAAAAAAGATTGTTCTGTAAGAGCAATCCTGATTGAGTACTGTGTGGGTCTTTTATGGTGTGTACTTCTCTTCAGTGATGTTACGGTAGCTTAAGTCCAGGAGTTGTAGGGAGTCAAGTCAAAAAGGTGACAGCAGCAATACTAGAGAACAAGTATAATTAATAAAAAAGATTACGTGGCAACATTTTTATTCCTGAAATCCTTCAAATTCTTCTTTTCACTGAAGGATTATTTGTGTACTGTTTTCAGATTCCCAAATCCCTTACAGTTGGTAGTCTTAGCACTGCAGTTTGGCTGCTTCCAAATAAGAATGAAATGTGTTCCGGATAATCAAGCTTCTTTTAGTTTCCAGTGTCCAGCAATTTTCAGGGCAAGATTAAATTGGTATGAAAATATGAGAAGTAAATAATTAAAATGGTTTTCCTTCTGTCCTTGAATACGTAATGCCGAGTTACCTGATCTGTAGTTATGACATCAGTGTTGAAACATTAGTGTTTAAACTAATTATGCTAATTTATTACGCTGATATTTAAACATGTGCAATATCTTCATACTGGCAATTGCCTTGAATTGAACAACTAAACCAGCAGATAGGTGATTAGATCTGTGTGCTAGTTACTCTAACCAAGGAGCGAGTGTCCCTATATTGAGGGGTCATCGCTACTTTTTGTTTCTCCCAAGCCAGGATTTAATTTTCCACAGAGATACCTCCATAGTCTTGTCAATTGTGGGAGAAGTGCCTCCTCTTTGTGGCAAATTCTAAGACTGGCACTGCACTGTTGTTGTCTCTGACCATGATGTTTTTCTTTTGGGGATCTGTGTGTGGGTGTTTCTCTCTCTCCCCAGTGCCAAGGATGGTGCTTACAGTCCTCAGCTGCAGTTCACTGCCACGGCCTGTGTGGAAAACAGGCCCAGAAGGCATGGTCAGACCAGTTCAGAAGTGTCTGGCATAGTTAATGGTAGAGGAATGGAGAACAGTAGTTTGGATAAAACTACTAAGAATCTAACTTTTAACTGTGCATATCCCTGTTTTGAGATGCGATGGTACTGAATCACTGAAACTTGTCTTAAAGTTAAGAGTTCATCTGAGATAGAACTTTAAAACTTTGACACTAAAACTGATTTTTTTTTTTTTTTAAAGTTCCCCTTCCTTTTTGCTCATTCAAGGTTTATGTGTGAATTACTGCCAAGCCTGGTGGTCTCTACAGTGCCACTAATAAGAACTTCTTTATTGTAGAGTTTGGTGCTTTGGAGGGGAAGAAAAATAAGTGCTCTATGCAGCTACTGTCTGTGTCTAAATTGGATGCTTTTTGTTGATGTCAGGAGCTGTTTCATTATTTCTAGCGCGAGTGAACTGATGTGTACATACACACTGCTTACTACTCCTCTTTTCTTCACTTACTCTTCAGATGTGTCCTCAGAGAAATAAACTAGTTCAGATTTTGTGGTTTTTTGAGACTGAAATTTTCCAAATGGAATCTTTCCATTGTCTTATCTAGTTTGTGCTATATCCAATCTCTTGCTTTAATTCAAATGGAAAACTATAGTAGATGCTGTTTCTGTTCATTTAGAAAAGATGAATCTTGGAGATTTTGGCTTCCCTAAATTTAACTGTGTCAAAATTAGTCTTGGATAGTGATATGGGCTCCTAATGGAAAGGATGGAAAGAACCTAGAGGGTTTTATTTCATCCCAAGAGATACTTTGCTTTCTCTCCAGAGTCTACTTCAGTACCAGAGTCTGGCTTAGGCTAGATAAGTAGCTTTTTAGATCCCTAAAGTTAGGGGAGACAAATCCTGCTGTTGGAATCACTTCAGTAGCTGTGAGATTGTGATTATCTGTTGAAAACGTCAAAAATAGAAACTTGACAATGATGGGAAGAAAGAGACTTGAACAAAACTGCAAGTAAAGGTGAAATGTCTAGGTTTTGACCTTAGAACTGTTGCTTTGATTTTTATTTGTCAATTTCGTTGGAAGATGCCCCTGATGACTCTTTTTGGTTTATGCATCATGTTAGTAGTGTCAGTGTAGTTTCTTGTGAATATGTGCTGACATCAATGAAGTAAAAGAATGCTGGTAGCAGGTATTGATGCTACTGTTTGGAAAATGTAATTATTCTTTTATTGCTGTGGAGCAAAGTTCAGTTGTGTTCATAGTTTCACTTGGGGAAGAACATGATACCTAACTTTGTTTGTTTTAAGAGTAAAATGCATTTGTGTTGAAAGAAAAAGAGGGAAAATTTGGCAACTTAGAGACTGATTTTTTTTTTTTTTTATTTTTGCCATAGAAGCTTAATTTTTTCATGTGTGGTAAGTGAGTACGTGTGAATTAATTCAGTAGCTATTATCATTCATTCCCCATTCATACAGTACTAATTCAAAAGTATTAGAGACGTACCATTTAACTAACGTCTTGTACTGTATTCACTGAGAGGGGTCTTTGTTTTCTGTTCTAATTTATTATTGATCTTTCAGGCCCACAGCAGCAGAACTTTTAAAATGCAAATTTTTCCAGAAAGCCAAGGTAAAACGTTTAACCCTATGAGTAAATTTTGCTCTGCCTTAAAATCTACATGAAATTTCTTCTTTCCTTGTATTGATTTTTAACTTACAAATGTTGGTTTTGCAGAATAGAGAATACCTGATTGAAAAACTTCTCACTAGAACGCCTAATATAGCACAAAGAGCGAAAAAGGTGAGTGTATTCACATCTTTTTCTTGACTGGTATGCAAGAGAAAGCAGGGATTGTTCAGTTGCCTTACATTTTAGTTGACTGACTGAGCCATTCTCTTATGCAATCCTTCAAGGATAGTGACTGTTGAATGAATGTTTTCTGCAGCCTAGCTTTCTCCAGGAAGCCCTGGGGCATTTTGACTTCCTTTCTGGCCTTGAAAAAATGATATATGGTATTTGTCATCATACATGATAACGATTTTTTTCCCACTCCCTTTTAGAAAGCTACAGGTGAAATGGTTGTGCAAATAAAAAGTGACTGCAAACATGTAGGTTCATGAACTGTGGAATTCATATCTTCATTGATCACCTAGAAAAAGGGTGGAGATACTGTAAATGACGTTCATTGAGGACTACCTGGTTCTTTGGATTATTTCAAATGTGAGGCCCAAATGTATGGAAGTCGGGTCCAAACTCTGCAAGTGTGCTGCTAAGTTATTCAGACCAGTGGAGTCTTATCCCACAGGTGATGGAGTGTAAACCACAGCTATGGCATATGCTGGTATTTCTGTCGTGCCTTTGGCACTTGTGTAAATGAGCTTACCAGGTCATTTGCAGCAGAACTAAAAAAAAAAATAAACTCTTAACAGGTTAAGTATTTTAAAACTTAAGTATGAAGCAAGCTACTGTTCATAAGAGCTAATAAACATGAATGAATGTAGACTCCTGCTTGGTGTGTGTGAGAAATTATGGAATTCCCTTTCTGTGGTGACTTAAGTCGCCGTGTCTCCTCATTATGAGGAACCTGCTTGGAGATTGCTAAGCCTCTGCAGGTGACAGCGTAGTGTGCTGAGTCCAGCTTTCTGGGAGGATGTTTCAAGGAGGGTGCTTCAGGAAAGGAACTATTTCAGCCTTTGTTGGTGCATCAGTTAGGCGTCAGTTACCTGGATTGGCACTTGCAAAGTTTTCTGTTGTCTGTGAATATCAGTTTGGTGTAATTCTTCAACACTGAAATGTTCCCACAGCAGGTGGCTCATACTTGGAAGAGACTGTCAGCAAGATCTGAATGCTTTAAGTTCCTTCTAACTATCTTTTAGGTGGAAGTAATTTAGGAATTCAGTGGCAATGATGGGGCTTTGTGAGAGGCTGGAGTAGAAAGCTGGAATGAGGGGCGTGTAGAAGGGGGTAGTGTGCTGAGCAGGTTAGCATCTGCAAGGTGCAGAGGAAGGGTAGGCGTAGTTCAGCTGTTTGGCCATGTGGTGGCAGCAATGCCCACATAAAACATTACCTAACGGCATAAAATAGTCGTTTGTTTTTTGTTTTACATCTTGGGCCATACAGGAGTAATTTAGACATGTTCTAGTACCAGCTAGGTTTCTGACAGAGCATGTGCCTTGTGAGATTCGTCTCCCAGCTGTGATCTCAGGTCAACTTTAGAGACTGCATATTAACTCATACATACATGCACGCATACTTACTTAGTTTAAATAATTTAGCATCTGGAATTGCAAAAAGAATGCGGGGTAGCCTCCCATACACCACCAGAAATAGTTTCCTGAATGACTTTTTGGACAATTCTTTCTAATTTGGAAGAGGTGTGATTCTTAAGAAATCAAAGCTGTACAGTGCTAGAGACAAATTAATAGGTCTTTTAATTACAGCATAAATGGAAAAAATATTTAGGTTTTAGCTAGTGAAAATACTAAATTATTTATATTTTAGAAGGACACAATATTAAAATTCATCAGGGATTTAAAATTTAATTCACTTGTTACAACTTTGCATGTAGCTACTGTTTTAAGACACCATAAAAAATAAATGTATTTTAATATTAAAACTGTGGGTTTTTATTTAAAAAAGCTTGTGTAAGTAGAGATTGATTGCTCAAACATTAACATGTAAAACATCTAAGAGGTCACTTTTGGAAGAAGTAATCCCTGTAATGGAAAAAAGAATGTCACTAGGGCAAGAGATGGGAAGGAGCTGGTGTCAGCACTGCTTAAATTATCTTCTGTAGCTCTTGGTGTGAAATGCCTGTAACTAATGATCTGTAGCACCGCTGCTAGCACAGGTGTCAGATCTGCCCTGCAGTAATTTAATTTTTCTTGTATTTTCCACATGTATAATTACTTTGCCTTGTTGCCCAGAACTCCAGCCTCAGTTTAGTTTTAACTTCAAATTCTTTTCTCGTGACATAGTGTTTTCATGTTTTGCTTCTGCCTTTACAGGTTATACTTGGCAACTGTTTTGACTAAATATGAGTTCAGGTCTGTTTGTGAAATCCTGAAAGCAGGTACTCATGCTCTTGTACGTGTGAGGAAAACATTTGATGCTGTAAAGATGTGTCTGGTTTTTAAAACCCAATTTGATAATTAAAACACCACCTATATTATGTGTTTTAAAATACTGTTTAACACCTTTGTGCACATATTCCCCCTGTCCCAGTGTTTCTTTATCTGCTTTTAGTTCTGCTAATTTTGAAATGATGCCCTTCTTCCTGGCCCTATCCTAGTAATTAAGGGTAACACTGAACCACTTCTGGAATTGACTTGCCCAGGAGGAAAGGAGGAACGTGTCTTGCCTCCTTCCTGTGCAGAACCTGCATAAGTATATACCGGTACTGATCCAGAGAAATGAGTGTCACACCGTGCAACTTCTTACTGGCAATTCTGGGTTTCATTAATGTGACTACTCACTTGTGAGAGCATTGCTGGTGTCAAGAAGAACTGGAGGAAAGGCGGTGGTGAATGGTCTGAGCTGAGTGCGGTATGGTAAGTGGGGCCATGCTCTGTGGCTGCACTTTTGTCATTGACAGAAATGTGGGAGCCCTGATTGCAACCTCTGCCTTGTTAGGTGGTGTGATGGTAGAGCAGCCTGCCCAGTCCTGCTTGGATCAGAGCTGTGCACATCCCTGTTATACAACAGCTTAGCAAGAGTTTAGATATGCTATTTATTAACACATGTTGAAGTAGTTTTAATTTTGAACTGAATGCTAAGTCGTTTCATTTGTGATTCGAATTGCTATATTGGAATAGTGGAAACTTTGAAACAGCTTCCAGAATTCCACAGTCAGTTTTGAAAACTTGTCACACTAAAGAATTAATTATAACTGTTAGTACTCTGTATGCCCAAGGGCCCTGGGTCAATTTTGTGGTTTTATGATCCTGTTTCTTTAATTTTGAAAATCTCCTGCATGACTGCCACTATTACAAAATGAACAGGGAAAAACATACATCTGCATTTCATTTTATTGCTGTCTGAAGTGCTTCTAGCAAAAAAAAAAAATATCTAAGTAATAATTGGGCTTGAATTCTATTTTTGGGAAGGTGGTATTGCTCTGCACTGTTAATGGAAACTCTTTAGAGCTCAGAGTTGTAAGTTACTGGGAAAAACCTGTGACAGCATAAAGAAATGATTAGTGTGAGTGATACCAGTTTTTATTAAAACTTCAGTAGCAATACCCTTACTGATGGGTTGGAATTCTAGCTCTGCAGTACAACTAATTTAGGGAAATGATCATATTACCTTATAGAAGAAATTAACAATCCCCTGCATTTAATGAGGAAAATATCATTAGATCCCAGATTTCTTGGACAGCTCTAACAGCATGATTGCACCTCAGCAAGACATACACATGCAACATTTCATTATTTCAGTAATGGATTTAATCTGATAGATACACCTCACCAATGATGGGTGTTAGTACAGCTGGACTCCAGACCTTTTGAAAAGCAGAGAGCAACATTAGTTTGAGCTTAGATTATTAAGACAAATGTATATTCATTACTATGATTATTTACATTTTAAGAAATGCTTATTTCATTACTGCTGATGTATAAAGAGAAGGGGCATGTGCTATACTGGAACACTTTTTCTGGAAAACAGCAGCTGAACTATAAGTATGTATTTGGCAAGGCTTTGTGTGGGGAAGGCCCCTCCACTGGAGAGGTTTAATTGTTCAGTTTACCCAGAACACTGCTACAAATGAAAAAAATAGTGCAACTGTTTTTATATTGTTAGATATGACTATTAAAAATAGAGGAGAAATTGGCATTCAGACTATATTGGGTTTTTTGTTTATTTTCAAGAAGTTGTTGGAAGTAAAACTTAATGGAAACACTTTTCTCGTAAAATGCAAATTTGACAAAAATTCACATAATCAGAAAGCAGTGCCTTTGTTAGTGGGTAGTAGAAGTGGAAAGTGTTTTAAGGGGCAGACACGTGCAGTTGCATCAGCTTTGTTTTAACAATTCAGATAAAGGAAAAAGACTGCTGTCAGTGTTTCTGCCAGGTATACTTAAATGCAGTTGTGCCATAAGATACAAGGAACTTCATACAGTATGTGGGTTTATCCATCCTTTCCTTCATCAGTGCTTTTACCATCTGTATAGAGTTTGTGAGATTGGATTTTGTGCCATTTCAAATGGAGCTAATCTAGTACAGAATAGACAAGCTTTAAAACAAACTATGGAATAGTTGGCTCAACTGAGTGCCTTTTGTACTTCAGATAATGGAAAGCATCTCTACAGTAAGTTTTATTACTTGTTATGGCAGGGTTTAAAAGCTCAGCTCACACATGATTCATCTTAATCATTAAAAAGTAACCCTCTGGTATTGGATAGTATTTTCCAGTTCATGGGCTATCATGGTTCAACTTCAGAATGCATTCGTGTGGTGAGTCACTGTCTCTTGTGTAACAGCATTGATCTGCTCATTAGCTAATATTGTGTTCATGACCTGTTGACTTGTTAAAAAATGTCTAGAACATGGACTAACATGAGGCTGGTATACAATGAGAACTTTTCTGATTAGACCAGTAGCTTTAAATATTTGGCATTTATCTAAGCTTTTGAAACTTTCAGTGCTGGAGGAGGGTTTCATTACTGTGACATGCAAGTGTAGTGTATTCTTAAAGGTGCTGTTGACAGACTCCTGGTTAAAGAATCAAGACAGGATAAAGAAGTCTAGGTGTGCATGATGCTGGTGGTAGGTTCTTTGATCAGGAAGTAAGTCTTGTAACT